TTGTTATATTTAGACAATCTCCAACTCATGGGATAAGGCTTAAAATATAAGCTTTAACCCCCTCCCCCCCCCAAAAATAAAAAAAAAAAAAATCTCCAACCATTGGGCTAAAATAAGTCCTGGGAAGAAAATATATCTCTGAGCTAGATTTCCCTCATGATTTAAGCTTGGCTTAAATAATTTTGGACCCACAAACTGTCATATTTCAAACTTTTTTTGTTTATTATTTATAGTCTAATGGCTGTGATCAAATGAGATCAAATCTAATGGTAAAAAAAAGTATGACGGTCCAAAATTAAATCTAACGTCTAAAATAATTTAAGAAATTTAAATCAAATTTAACTTAAAACTTTATAAACACCTATGTATTTGTATGATTTTTAATTACCTATCGTAATATAAATATTTTTAGATTAAAATGTTCATAAAAATAAATTAGGATAATCTACATAAATTTTATTTTCAAAAAAGTTACTGAAAAAAAAAAAATAGGTTCGGGCTAAAATTTTAAGTCATAAGGGTTGGAGGAGAAAAGTAGTTTCTGAGTTATGACTTAAAAAAAATTTTGGCTTAAATTTTGAAGCTTTATTCTCAAGGGGTTGGAGATGATCTTAGAGTTTTGTGTTGAAATTTAACTTAAGTTGTAACAGAAAAAATAAAAAATATAATTTAAGTTAAAAGAAGAATACTGAACAGGCATAGATTCCTACAAGTAAGATACATAATTAATAATTAAAGAGATTTGACAAAAAAAATAATTAAAGAGAAATTTTTCAGTGTGATTGGGACACGGATTGGTACACCACGTGTCATTATATCAATGGTAGAATATGTGTGCTAAAGAGTTAATAAATTAAAAAATACAGTTTCCTACCACTTATATAAAAACATGTGTACCATCTATATTCCGGTCACAATGAAAAATTTGTCAAAATTAAACATTAACATTACATAGTCCAGCCAGGAAGCTGACTAAACACAGGGCAATCAGCCACCATTTAAAACACATATTAAAATAAATAACAACCTAGAAAGTTATTAAGACCAAGCAGATGACTTAACAACTAGAAGTAAAGCCTACTGAAACCAACACAGCACAGAAAATCCTTAAAGCACCAGGTTACTTTATTCTTGCGTCACTACATATTCTTCCATACTAGCATCTCTGCACGTGCTCAAGCGCATGAGAGAGGCATTTTTGCATCACGGGCGCTAAGTGCCCCAAAGATGTGTTGCTTTAGATATTCGTATATTTCTTAAGTGATTACTAAAAGATGTGTTGCTTTAGATATTTGTATATTTCTTAAGTGATTACTGAAAATAAATAGGATCTCATTGCCAAGGGAGATGGCCTCATCCAACTATTTAGGCAAAAACTTAACTGTAATTGAAATCGAGAGACTCGAAAAAGAGATATTAGATTCTTCTTCTGAATCGCAAATAAAGTACGTGCGGAGACTTATTGGTTGTGCACCAAAACCTATTGCTCATTGCCAAATGATCAACTAAAATGTAATCGGGCACTCTCATGCATGCAAGAGACATTCTTAAGTGATTACTAAATATATTTTATTTATGTTAAAACCATAGTCTGAAATATCGATAATATCGACAAAATATTGAGGATATTTCGGTTTTTTCGAATCAAGGATATTTCGGAACATATCCATGTACATATCGTACAAATATCGACAATATTGACGATAATATCGGAAAATATCGATGTCGATAATTTCGCTCACACTTCAACAATATTTTGTCAAAATATCGGTGTAATATTGCTAAAATATCGAAAATATCGATGTAAAGGAAGGAAAAAAAAAAGAAAAAGAAGAAAAAAAAGGGAAAAGAGGGAGGAAAAAAAACGCAAAGGGGATTTGAACCCCTCTCATTTTACTCCTCCAACACCGTAACCATATATCACTTATGTTTTAGTGATAATATGCTAAAATATTTATATTTATATGAGTGACATGTTAACAATTACATGCAAAACTATTTTGGGGATTTATCATTTGATGAATACTCTTCACAATAAACTTACTCTACACATAGAGATGATGAAGATAGTGAAAATTTTGAACCTCATAGGAACTTTATGTGGTACTAAATCACTCATGTATCTTACCATGCAATGTATATTGTAGTAAATCATTATATATAAATGATTATGGTGTGTTTAATCTTTTTTTCATTAATTACTACATATTTTCTACTCACAGTGTTTGCCAACTCGCTGTATAATCAACTTAAATCAGTTAAATCCATCATGTAATGCATTTCCTTCTAATTTTTTTTTGATAAACTAATAGATAATTGACTAAATAAACATTCTCCAAAGTTTCAATAAAAATTTCCAAGTTTTTCTTACAATTTCCGTGGTTTTTATTCAATTTTTATCCATATCGATAATATCCCGATATTTCCATCGAAATTTCCATGTTTTTGGACTACTGATATTTTCGATATCATCGATACATGAGTTAAAACCAAAATTTTAGTTTGGTATTAAGTACTCTTTACTTTTGATTTTGGGTCCCCTTTTATTTTTTTGTTTTTGACAACTATTTGTTTTATTTTTTGTGCGTTTGGCAACTGGCATGTGGTTGTCATTCACCATTTTAAATACAAAGAATGAAAGAAAATTCATGAAAGCTGAATAAACAGTGTATATGCAATTGATCAAGAAAAACAGAATTCAATATAAATTATTCTTTCTTTTGATCAATTTTTTCCAGAAGATACACATTAGAATATAATATGAAAAAAAAAAGAACATTTGGGTATCAATGGAGAATAGCACTTCATGAACAATTTTTTTTTGTTTTTATTAAACGATAGATTTTGTTAGATTAACCATCGGTGAGATTCGAACACAAACCATCATGCAAGAGCTCAACTTCTTTCCACCACTGTGGTAAAGGCCCACTTGCCACTTCATGGACATTTTATTTTATGTTGTTCAAATGCGTTGAATGAAATTGACATGCAACTACGTAAGCTAAATATTTGGGATAGGCAATACACAAAATCATCTAAGCAGAAACAAATAGAATTAATATGAAGAGAAAGTAGACATGGATAAAGACAAACAGATTGACTGTGACTTTTACGGGTTTTATTGTATGAACAAACGTTTGCACCGTCAGATTTAAATGTAATGTGTCTGAACCTATGGTATAACAAAAAAACATATTTGCATAGCAAACCCGGCTACATCATTGTTATTGAACATATGGTGTAACAGAAAGCAGAAGAAATCAATCTGAACATATGAAGACAATTAACAATGTTGTTCTACAAAAAAGAAATTAAGAGAAAGCATTCAATAGTGAGGCCATAACTAAAATTTAATAGCATCCTACGTTGCCTCATAGTCAATCAAACTTCTCTACTTAGTAGCGAAGTAAACATAATCCTAAATCTTGAGAAAACCAAATTCAATCAAATAACAGTTAATAAGTAGCAACAATGGATTGTTTTAATCAAAATATTAACTTGATTAAACAACCAAGTCATCTCATTTTTGCCTCACAAACATAAGCTGATGAAACTAGCAAGAGGGTACAATTTGTTAAGCTTAATAGCCTTTATGCACATAAAATACCTTTTCCAAAACACCTATATATATATATATATATTTAAAATGAATAACTTCAATGCTTTAAGCCACAGGAAGCTTGTAGAACAAAGTTAACATGAAAAATGAAATGATGCCAACCATATGACAGAGAAACAAATAAAAACATGTAAATTCATAAATCAAAGTTTTAACTCAATCAAATATTATTCCAATGAAAGTTGTAAAATGCAAATAAAGCCATTTAACAACAAACTGTTTCAACCATTTGACTACCCGCAATGTAGACAAAGAAATTTGATACTCATAGTACATAACTGCTCTATTTATCTCTCTGCAAATGACAAATAATAAAATGGAAAACTGAATTATACCTTGGCTAGTTATTATTTTGGGTCGCTATCTCCAATTGCTCCAAATAAAAGAGATGAAGCGTGTGAAGGCAAAATTGGAAGCTTGTCTTGAGTTCTTGAGTTGGCACTGGCAGTCATCGACCACATCTCCTAAACTGTAACATGCTAAAATTATCGATTCAATAGAGAGTGTTTAACTAAATCTTATCTCATTGGCAACGGCACATTATAATATCAAGCATATCTTTTGTGTTTATAGATAATAGAATTTTACACTTTTAAGTAGGTATTTTTCATTTTCAGAACAACAAAATTAGGAATCGAACATAAATATGAACATCAACTATTATACAGAAGTTCGAAATGAAAATTAATTAGTCATGCAAACCTTTTTAAAGCAATCGCGATTCTATCTCTATTTGAATACAACACCATTGACTTGAGGTTCTCAATTTTCTTAGCTTGCTGTTGCACCATCTTCTCTCTTTCAGCTTGGGCTTTTTTTTCCTCCAACTCCAAAGCCATACGCTCCCTCTCTAACTCAGTCTGCACAGAAAGTATGCATGTCCCAGAATACACTTGCATTCAACTAATTACAATAAACATAAAATGTAACTCCAAACCTGTAATAACTTGTTTTGCAGATTGAGGATTTCTTCTGCCCAACGTTCTGAATGATATAAAAGAGAACTACAAATTGAAAAACTTGAACTTAAGCTGTATCCTTTCCGTTTCATTTTTCCCTGCTTGAGGCCCATTTAAATTGAAAAGAGAACTACACAACCTTTGTAAATACAAATCTTTAAACTTTCTCCAAACAATGAAATCATAGAGAATTGAATTTTAAGTGTGAATCTAAGGCAAACGTACCAAAATGCCCATGATCCGTTACAACACACCGCACTTTGCCATCAACTTCAGTAGGTCATCTCTCGAAAACTCCTTAAGCCCTTCCGTAACTGCATTCATTTGTCCTTTCCCACTGTCAAGAACTCCAGTGAATGCTTCCTCCTCCGCCACCGGCAACGCCACTTCGTCACCCGATAACGTCGACTTTAACCGGCAAAACGTTGGACCAAACCACATTTTATGCAAAAAAAAAAGAATCAAAATTTGAAACTAAAGGTGCAACATTTGAAGAGTGTGGTGTGGGTGGTTGAGGCATTTCAACAAACACTTACCTAGAGTGCCCGGTACAACCTCTTTCAGAGGTGCGGCTATAGGAGAATGACTTGTAGCCTTTTGCCATGACCAGGGCGGCGGTCAATTCCCGCCACTCAGTTTGGTTTCCTGTAAGCCGATCCTATAAATTCAGCAATTTGAGCCCGTTCATGTTGTACGTCACTATCTTCATCTTCTTCCTCTCTCTAGGCAAGTTCAAATTAATTCGACAATTATCAAGGAAGAATTCAGAAATTAATTGGATCTTCATGGTAATTTCGAGCTAATTTGACAATTATCAAGAAAAAATTCAAAAATTAATTGGCGATTACCGATCTCGAGACCAGATTGGAAATAAAGGATGATGGCACCCATTGCGGTACCTTCGCAGCAACGTCGAGGTCTCTCCAACATAACTACTGGTTAGAGAAGATGATGGGATTTGGCGACGATGGGATGGACTCCATTACTTTAGGCAACGATTCGGTTTTTGTATGGAGGAGTAAGACCCATAGAGAGAGAGTGGAGGAGGAACGGGAAGAAGTTGGAGCGCAAGGACGGGGAAGTTGGAGTGGGACTACTACAACAACTGTTTCAAATACAGTTTCCCACTCTCTGCACGTCTAATTTGTGTCCTTTGTTTTTCTCTCCTACCCCACGTTTTTACCATTTTATCCCTTTTTTTTTTTTTATATTTTTTGTTTTTCTCATAACTGTAATTAAAGGGTTAATTTTGGATTTATGAATGTTTCACCGTTTTTGCCTGGCTTTATATATATAGATTAAAGGGTTAATTTTGGATTTATGAATGTTTCACCGTTTTTGCCTTCTGGCTTTATATATATAGATATAAGAAATTAAGCTGCTGGTCTTTCTTCACAAAGCTCTGATCACTTCACACTGCAACAAGAGAACAGAAGTTCGGTTAATTAAGATTTAAGAAAAGAAAGTTAATTTAAGAACTGTTTGATAATTATAACGTTTTTTTTTTTGGCAATATTTTTCAGAAAGGTGAAAACTAAAAACCAAGGAAAGCTGAGTATTTTTGTGAAATTTTTAAATTTCGTTTGATTTACTAAACACTGAAAACTAAAATTGTTGTTAAAATGAGTTTAATTAATTTATAAGACCTTTTGCAGTCTGTAGAGGGGCTGATCTTGTACGGAATGTTGACACTACACTTGGCAGGAAGGCCAGCAGCAAGGCCAGCGTTGGTATTGGTGTAAGGGATGCCATTGATTGCTTGCTTCAAGCAGTTGCAGACACTTTGGCGGTCAGGGTTGGTTTGAGCCAGGGTGAAGAGGGTCCTGACCCCGTTGCAACAAGCGGGGGCCAATGCCCCGCCGGTCTTCACGTAGGAAATGCATGGAGTCAGGTCACTCACCATCTGACCGCATGTCACAGCTGCCTCGGCCTTGGGGACACAAGCCACCATGCAGAACATCACCACCACCAAGCATGCAAGCTTAAGGAGCTGTCCAGAGCTAGCCATAACAACGTCGTAAATAAGAGTACACTAATCTCTTGAAACTGTTGACGAAGTGTTTGGATACACTGGTGAGTGCTAGAAGGGCTGAAGGTGTGTTGTTAATATAGTATAAAACTGGTAGATGGAAGTATTGAAAACTTTGGTAGAGTTTAGTTGAGTAGGTTAAATGCTAGAACTTGGATATCCAGAAGAAGATTATAGACATCATACGTCTATAAATTAAATTGCTCTCTGTGTGCACGTACGTATGTATGAAGTGATGAACCATAACTCACTTCAATTGCTCAACCGACCAAACAAACTATATGATCCGTGGAGTTACCCTACTTCCAAAAGGTTTTGCAGGGAAAAATGTCCAACAGTTTGTTTCATCCCTCTACAATCTAGGTCAAGACTGTTCATGATTCTCAAGTGAAGAGATTAGGGTTTTACTCCCATTAGCATAGAGGAATTAGTCCAACAATTCATCATATGTTTGTTTAAACATTCATGTTCCAATGCATATTGAAAATATTGACAACATATCCACATTGTAAAATGTGTTAACGAGTGTAACTTCACATTGTAACATTCATGTCCGAACAGCCTGCCAATACAAACTTCCTATATCAATGCCAAGGCCATCTTTCAATGCTAATACCAAAAAACAAAGAGAAATGTTAAGGGCACTTTTTTAAAGTGACTCGTTAAGAACTTTTTGACATCTCACAGTTTAATATCAATTCCCGTGACAACATTATAAAATATTGTACAAAAAAATGAGGTGACAAATAATCCATAAAGAGTCCCACTTTTGTGAGAGGCTCCTTAACATTTCTAAAAAACAAAACCAAAAACTGATAAGCAGCCAGTCCTAATTAAACACTATCCTTAGTTCCATGATCTATAAGAGTAGTTACACCAGTTGGTAAAAGGTAAGACCAAAGGCAACAATGTTGCCCCTTAGCCCAAAAAAACACCTACATCAATCCATTAAACCAAGGGCAAGTGGTGGGCCAATACCTACCCACCCAAAAGCCCATGCTTCTCAAGCTCATGCATGTGCCCAGCAAAAGGCTGACGTTAGCCACTATTTATTATTTTTTCTGTCAAGCATATATAACACACGTGCGGCAAAAGGCGAGTAGCCAACAGAACTGTAGCGGTGGGTCTGCTGCAACAGAGCACTCAGTGCTTTTGCAATGGCACGGACACATGGCGCATTTAAATTCGTTGAATTTCTAACGGCCAAATAATCTGGACCATTGGAAATCCAATGGTAAAAAAATTTGAAAATGTTACCATTGCGCCGCTAGTATCTGGCCGGACTTGATTTTCTTTTGTTTTTTTTGTTTTTGTCAAAGGTAGATTTTACTCAGCTAAATACGAATAGGAATGTTTACATCTTCCGCTAGAACATTAAATAAAAACTCTGGCCCATGGGCATCCCAACAGAAGGATCCTCGCTTTAAGGTTACATGTGAGGCCACAGCATGAGCCACAACATTTCCTTTCCGCTTAACAAACACGAAACTCACCCTGCCTACTTGGGACGCCAAAACCCTAATATCATGGAGTAAGCATTCTAGAGTTGCATCAATGACATACTCTCCGTTCAGCATTCTAATAAGCCCCTGAGAATCCGACTCAATTTCCACCTCCGCAAAACCCCGCTCCCTGCAAACCATTAAAGCTGCATGCACTGCACTAGCCTCAGCCATGACCGCCTTGTTGAATAATAGACCCCCTTCCCCACCAGCCGCAAGGAGCATTCCAGCAAAATCTCGCACCACCCATCCATAGCCTCATCGGAGTGTTGATTCACACCAGGCGCCGTCACAATTAACCTTGATTACCCCGAATTTGGGTCTTTTCCACCGAACAGGCCGTCCAGCGTAAGAGGCAGCCTTCCCTACAACATCCACGGTAGTAGGCATTTTGGCAGGGTCATGGGATGCCCTATACTCCATAATCTGACTTCGCACCACATTCACACCTTCCATGGGATTGGCTTCCGCGCCTTTAAACAGCAGTTCATTTCAGCATTTCCAGATTCTCCACATAATGAACACACATTCCTGCAAGATTAGTTCATGGTTCTTCTCCTTCCGGAATCGATTACACAGATTGTGCCAACATTCCCCAAAATCCTTCCCCGTGGCAAGCTTTATGTCCAGTTGCAGGGGATAGCTAAACCAAAATACCCTGCTGAATTCACAATCAAAGAAGAGGTGATGCTCAGTTTCCTTAGCATCCACACACAAAGCACAGGCTGTGTCCACTCTCATTCTTCTTCGGTGAAGGTTACCCCTGACCGCCAAGGATGAATTGCAGTATCGCCAAATGAAAAACTTCATTTTATTGGGAACCTTCAGCCTCCAGATCTCCATCCAACGTTTGTCTGGTTCGTCCCTCCGACTACAACCCCCCGTTCATTTCCGCCCAAGTTTACCATTTTCCTGCATTTCCATTGCAATACCATAGCCGGTCCTTACAGTGTAGTCGCCATTACTGGTGTAGTGCCATATAAGTCTGTCAATGCAACCCTCCAGGCTAGTTGGGATGCCAAGGATAATATTACTTTCCTCCCCCTCAAAGCACCTCTTCACTAAATCAACCTTTTAAGAGCCCGTCACAGGATTGATCAGATCCTTTACCATCGTTGGCAATTCCGGGTGTTTTGAAAGAACCCGAAAGGTATGAGGTCTTGGGATCCAAGGTTCATGTTTCACTCGAATGCTGCTCCCATCACCAACCCTCCATCTTCTCCCTCTTTCCAAGATCCTCTTGCCTTGCATAATTCCCTTCCACCCCCACGAAGATCTTTTCCCCACCTTTGCCTCCATGAAGGAGCATTCAGGAAAGTACTTTTCTTTAAGAATCTGGCCAAGCAAAGAGAGTGGATTGGTTAGTATCCTCCATCCAATTTTAGCAAGGTAAGCCAAATTAAAGGACAGAAGGTCTCGAAAACCCAGCCCTCCCACTTTCTTCCTTCTCTTCATTTTTTCCTAGCTAATCCAATGCATCCCATTTTCTCCCTGCTTCCCCGCCACCAGAATTTCGCAATAGTTGATTCCATTTCTTTGCAAAGGTTCACTGGAAGTTTAAAGCACGACATCGCATAATTTGGTAAAGCCATGGCCACCGCTTTAATCATCATTTCCTTCCTAGCCGGAGATAAGAATTGTTCCGCCCATCCATTTATTCTTCCATCTAGTGCCTCACGAACACCTTCGAAAACAGCCTTCTTAGACGCGCCAAAGTCTGCACTAAGGCCCAAGTACCTTCCGAAAGCCTCATTGCCGACAAAATTAGTGCATGACTCAATTAACCTCCGTTGTTGCCGTGGACACTGGTTTCCAAAATACAGGGAGCTTTTTTCTTTATTTATGATTTGCCCAGAGGCAACTGGGTAGCATTGTAGAACCTTCAATATTACTCTAACCTCCACCTCAGTTGCCTTACAGAAGATGACCGCATCATCTGCAAATAATAAATGGGAAATTTGCGTCCCATCAGGCGTAACTTTTATCCCTTGTAGGGAGCCTTGCTCCTCCTTTTTTCAAAGCACCGCCGATAACCCCTCGGCACAAATTAGGAATAGAAAGGGAGACATGGGGTCTCCTTGTCGAAACCCGCGTTTTGGTTGAATAAATCCAGTTGCTGAGCCATTCAGGAGCACACTATAAGACATCGTAGTTATACACGCCTCAATTCTCTTGCAAAACTCATGAGGGAATCCCAAAACACTCATCATTTCCAGAAGAAAGCTCCATTTAACCCGATCGCAAGCTTTTGCCATGTCAAGCTTCATGGTGACACAGTTCTCATCCCTGTTATGTTGCTGATTCAGTGAGTGGAGAATCTCATGCACAACCAATATATTATCCTGGATTTGTCAACCCGCCATAAAAGCCGATTGGTTTGCACTAATCAGATGTGGGAGGACATTCTTCATGCGATTAGAGAGAATTTTGGCAATCACCTTATACCCAACATTACATAAGGAAATAGGCCGTAGCTGAGACATATTCCTCGGGCTGGGAACTTTAGGGATAAGAACCAGATGTGTATGGTTTAATTTCCTTAACATTTTTCCGGAGACCCAAAAGGCCTGAACCATAGCAAAAATATCTCTACCAACCACGTCCCATAATTCATGATAAAAACTACCTGTGAATCCATCCGGCCCCGGGGCTTTATCCGCCAGGTTTTGGAACATAGAGAGTCGCACTTCTTCCTCCGTTATCGTTTGCATCAGCCTTTGAGCATTTTCCGGTAAGATCTGGGCCTCTACACATTCCGTGATTTCATGAGTACCTCGTGGATTACAGGTGCGGAAAAGGTTCCTGAAATACATCACTGCTATCTCATCCACCTTGCTGGGTTCCGTGCACCAATTTCCTTACTCATCTTCCAACCCCACAATTTTACTGCACCTGCGTCGCTTCATAGTTTAAGCATGAAAGAATTTAGTATTCTTATCCCTATCTTTAATCCATTGGTTCCTAGACTTGAGCTTCCAATATCTTTCTTCCTCCCTGAGTAAGTGTTTAAGTTCCCCCTCCATATTCTGAACAGCCTCACTAGCAAACTTGTTCGACTTGTAGGTGTCTCTCAGATCATTTTTCAGAATTGCAATCCACAGTTTTGAGTTTCTTCCACTTGCTCTACTCCATTTTTGCAGCCCTTTGCAGACCCATTTCAGTTTCTCCACCACTTTAAATGGTTGGGATCCCACAAAGTTATACTTCCAGTTTGTTTCCATAATACCATGGCAATCCTTTTCCCCATTCCATCGGGAATCGTATATAAACCGTTTCCTCATTTTAAAAGGAGTAAAATCAGTATCCAAGATTAGCATAGCATGGTCAGATCCTTCCAAAACTTCATGCAGAACTTTAGCCTCCGAATGGGCCGAGACCCATCCTTCCGATGCCAATCCCCGATCAAGCCGTTGTTGGATGGGTCCCTCATCCCTTCGGTTCCTCCAGGTAAAGGGGTAGCCTGTAAAGCCCAAATCAAGTAGCTCATTGCCAGAAACAAAATCACGAAAGTCTTTCCTGCTTGCCAC